ATTTTATATTTTATTTTTTACTTATTCACTTTATGTTCTGCTCACTGTCCCCTACTCCTGGTCAGCCCTTCCCACAGTACTTTCCCCATCACCCCTCCCCTTCTCCTCTGAGCACATCAGGGGCACCCTGGATATCTCCCCACCAAGGCACTTCAAGTTTCTACAAGGCTTGGCACTTCCTCTCCCACTGAAGCCAGACAAGTCAAGCCAGCTAGAAGAACATATCCCACATACAGGCAACAGCTTTGAGGATAGCCCCCACTCCCGTTGTTCAGGACACACATGAAGAGCAAGCTGCTACATAGGTGTGGTGTTACCTAGGTCCAGCCTGTGTGTGTTCATTGGCTGGTGGTTTATTCTCTTAGAGTTCCAAGGGCTCCAAGGTTAGTTGATTCTGTTGGTCTTCCTGTGGAATTCCTATCCCCTTAGGGGCTGTGATTCTTCCTTCTTTTCTTCCACAAGAGTCCCCAAGCTTCATCCACTGTTTGGCTGTGGGTATCTGAATCTGACTGGGTCAGCTGGTAAGTGGAGAGTCTCAGAAGACAGTCATGCTACTATACTCTTGTCTGCAGGCATAACAGAGTATCAGTAGTGTCAGGGATTGGTGCTTTTCCATGGGATGTGTCATAAGTTGGGCCGGTTCTTTATTGGTTGTTCACTCAGTTTTTGCTCCATCCCATGTCCCTGCATTTCTTGTAGATAGGAAAAATTGGGAGACAAAAGTTTTGTGGGTTGTTCGGTATCTCTATCACTCCCTCCAGGGTTACTACCTACCCACCCTAGGTTCCATAGGTCCAGGGCAAAGAGTCACAACTAAGATCATTCCCATTGATTCTTGAGGGCTTCCTTTATCCCAGATCTCTGTCTCTTTCTGGAGATGTCTCCTACATCTACCCCCTTATTGGATTCAGATTTCCATTCATTCACATGGCCATCCAGTCATTCCCATGACCTCTTCTCAAGCCCAACCCAAACCCAGCACTCCCCTCCCAATCCCTTCTCCCACCCATGTCCCTTCATCTGACTTCCATGACCATTTCATTCTCCCTTCCAAGCGAGACTCCTTCCTGTCTAGCCTACTTGAGTCTGTGGACTGTAACATGATTATCCTCTATTTTAGGACTAATATCCATTTATAAGTGAATACATACCATGCATGGTGCATGTCATTTTGGGACTCAGTTACCCCACTCAGGATGATATTCTCAACTTGCATTCATTTGCCTGCAAAACTCGTTATATCTTTGTTTATAATAGCTGAACAGTATTACATTGTATAGATGTATCACATTTTTATCCATTCTTCAGCTGAGGGACATCTAGGTTATTTCCAGTTTCTGACTATTACAAATACAGCTACTATGAACATAGCTGTGCAGATGTCTTTGTGGCATAGTGGAGCATCTTTTAGGTATATGCCCTAAAATGGTATAGTTGGGTCTTGAGGTAGAACTATTCCCAGTTTTCTGTTAAAAAAAAAAAAAATTGGCCAAATTGATTTTCAAAGTGGTTGTACAAGTTTTCATTCCCACCAGCATTGGAGGAGTATTCCCTTTGCTACAAATTCTCTCTAGCACATGCTATCACTCAAGTTTTTGATCTTAGAAATTCTGAAAGATGTAAGAAGGAACCTCAGAGTTATTTTGATTTACATTTTCCTCATGACTAAGGACTTTGAACACTTATTTAAGTGCTTCTTAGGCATTCCAGATTACTCTGTTTAGAATTTTCTGATTGGCTCTCCGCCTGATTTTTTAACTGTATTGCCTGGGTTGTTGGTGTTTAACTTGTCGAGTTCTTTATAGATTTTAGATATTAGCCCTCTCTCAGATGTAGAGTTGATAAAGATCCTTTCCCAATCTGTAGGCTGCCTTTGTGTCTTGTAGACAGTGTCCTTTGTCTTACAGAAGCTTTGTAGTTTCATGATGTCATATTTATCAATTGTTGATCTTAGAGCCTGAGCCATTTGTGTTCTGTTCAGGAAATTGTCTCCAATACCAATGTGTTTGAGGCTATTTTCCACTATCTAATCTGTAAGATTTAGTGTACCTGGTTTTATGTTGAGGTTCTTGATTCATTTGTACTTAAATTTTAAATATGCACCCATTTTCATTATTCTGCACATAGACATTCAGTTAATCCAGCACCATTTGTTAAAGAGCCTTTCTTTTTTTTTTTCACTGTATGGTTTTGACTTTTTATCAAAAACAAGTGTCCATAGGTATGTTGGTTTATTTCTGGGTCTTTGATTTAATTTCATTGATCAACATGTCTTTTCCTGTACAAATACCATACAGTTTTTATCACTATTTCTCTGTGGTACTATCATAGTTTCTTGTGTGACTCAGTTTACCAAAATAATGAAAACTTAACAAAATTAGCAAAGACAAATAGGCTAGACATACCTTCTTAAACCAGCCTCTGTTAACCTAAATAGATCTTAGTTAAGGAGAGACATTCTATAGGTTCTTTATCAAATTGCGTAGATCATTGTCTTGCTGCATCAAAAGATAGGAATATTTCAGTTTCTGGTATTTAGTAGTTATCCCCTAACTTAATTGACCAGGGATTATGCTGAATATTTGGGATTTCAATGTAGACTTGATCCTTTCTCAGGGTGATCTTTTAAGCATAAAAGCCATGTTTAGAGTTGACATATTTCAGGTAGCAGAATAGTCAAAAGCAGGACTGTGGTAGTTAAAAAGCAAGTTTACACTTTTGAATATTTGCACAAAACTATACATATCATATCAATGGATTAGGTCTGTGTTTTAATATTGCTTGTGTAGCCTTTTAATTATTGACCCTGTGTTATAAGTTTCAAGTCAACTTTTCCTATATATGCTAGAGATTTTTAACTATATCCAATAAACTCATAAATCCTGAGGTACAGAATGTTTACTTAATAGCCTTATAAATCTTGAGAAAGATTTATATCTTAGCATAAGTTTTAGATAGTGAAATGACACCAATGTTCTAATTTTGTTAACTTTTCTGCCTTGCTCTTTTTTTCTGCCACAAAGTGGGGTGACTCTGCTGACATATGACAGACACATTCCAACTTCAGTGCCAGCTTCTCATTATAGCAAAATAGCATATGACAATATTTCAATGTCTTCCATACCCAAAAAATTTTTGAATCCTTGCTGAATCCAGTGGCCAGAAAGCTCAGAAATGAAGAATTCTAAGTATTGTCTGTCAAGGAAGGAATGGCAAGGCAGCGGTGGACTTGGGTCTGGAACCAGCATGTACACAAAGTGTGCACACAGGATAGCATGCTGGAGTATGTCCACATTGTCTCAGCTAGACAGCATGGGAGTGGATGCAGATAGAGCTTGGTCTGCCTCCCATTTCCACCTGTATCTGGCACAGAAACATACACACAAGAAATGGAGAGAATGAAAATACAATCAGTACATAAAACTTTCCCCAGGCGGAATGCATACAGACAAGGAAAACACAAAACAAAACATCGCCAAATAATAACCTAGACAACGACAACAATCAGGGTCATTAAGAGGTTAACTGGTTTGACTACAGTAATTTTCTTAACAAATAGAAAGAGTTTTTCAGTTGCCTCCCTCTCCATCTCACATGCCAGGTACCCACTGGAGGCTTTCTAAGTGACAGGTTTCCCTAATTCAGCTAGACTGGGCCTTACTGAGGTCCATCTCTGATCCAGGTATGCCTGTCATCCTCCTGGGTTGGGCCTCTCCAAACCATGGGCTAGGTCCTAGTGTTATGGGATGTCCTTATGGTTCCTTGGCCCTGTTGTACAGCTTAGGCATTGAAACTCTACCAATGGGCACTCAGGTACCTGGCCCCACAAATTTTCTGGGACCCCAGTATCACCAGGGATCTATTAGGGTCGCAAAGTCAGTCAGAAAGGGAACTGATGGCTCTGTCTGAATTCCCAATTAATCATAAATAACCAGTGGACCCTTGGACATCTCCCTTTGCCCCGGATGGAAGAATGTTGAGCTTCATGAGACCCACTATGGCCCAAGATTGGGATCTCATGGAACCAGAACAGGACCAGAAACCAAATGTCACAGGAAAAATATCAAAAGCTTGAGGAGGAGGGCAGTGATTGAAATGTAAATACACAAAACATTTTTTTTAAAAAACAAATAAAAGTTTTCATGATTTTCCAAAGGAGGCCTCTGTAATAAAATGATAAGAAAGGTATTTGTTTTTCTCTCCTTTGGTGCAGCCATTTGCCCAGGAAGTCTGAGGAACTGAAGTGTGCTTCTGGGTCTTGGAATATCTCCAAGGTGAATACCTTTTGGAGAAATTCTTCAGTCCTGGAGAACAAGAGAGAAGAGTCTGGCTTCTGAATTAGGATTGGAGTCATGATCTGGGGAACTGCTAATGTTAATTCTAAAGACCAGGGGATAAAGACTACCAACTCAAATCATCTTGGACAAATTAATTAAAGCCAGAAATTAATTAAAGCAAGCTGATTTATACATGTAAGCAGGCTGACTCACCCTAAATAAGAGTTTGAGAGATCAGCATCAGATTTGAGAAAAATAAGGTTAGGGGTAGAGGGCCTCCAGATGGGGGATTTGGCAAGGAAAATAGATGGGGTTACAGGAGCATAAGATAAGCTTGTACATTATTCCTAAAGGTCTCTTGAAATAAAGGCATGGTTGCAAACTGGACATAACAAGGAAATCATAACAACAGGGAGTGGTAACAAGGTAGACATCCATGGTCATATTACCTTTTAAAGCAATGTTAGGGTTGCAAGATGGGTATAAACAACTCTTTGAAATAAAGACAGAATTTCCATCCTGGAACAGGCAGTACAGAATCATTTTCAGTTAAAGTTACAGGTGAGGCATAGCAAAGTCCTTAGGAAACAGGTTTAATGGTAAACAGGAATGAACCTAGTATTTCTTTACTATAGGATGGCTTTTAAACCTAAGTTGGAGACACGCTGGTCCTTCCTGGAAGTTAGAAACTCAGTCATTGTTACTGTTTCTTTCTCTTTTCAGGCCCCAAATGGAGGGTGGTAACCAGCATGCTTGGAGCCTTGTGTGTGGTGTTGATGACAACCGTGGGGATCTTACTTCCAAAATGTAAGCAGTTAAGCAACTTCTTCACTTTGCAGCAGTTGTGCTTTCAGTAATGTGATTATAGCATGACTGCACTTCACAGCATATACATGATAATAGCTCAAACACTACTAACTCCTGCCTTGAATTATGCCCCAGTGCTTTCTAGTCAAGAAGAGCAAAGCAGACAAACCTCATTTCCTCCTCTTCTGTGTCCTAAAGAAGATGGTGAGTACTAACCCTAAGGATGTTTGTGAGTGTTAACTCCCAGGATGTCTGTGCATGTTAACTCTGAGGATGTTAGTGAGTGTTAGCTCTCAGAATGAAGTGAGTGTTAACTCTGAGGATGTTGGTGATTCTTTATAGAGTTCAATTCCAAGACTTTCCATTACTTCCTATTTCCACAAACTTCAATCAATCATGATAGCCAGAAATAGTGTTGTTCATTTAGACCCTTATGAGAAAAGAACTCACATGGCTTAAAACTAAGAGAATCTGAAAAGTAAAATCCCCAGAAATTACAGCTATTTGTGTTTATCTTCATTGCTTTGTGTTTATTAGAAGAAACTGTGATTCAAATATGTAGACTAGTAAATATGAATTGCCCATGTTACTGTTGTTTGAAAATAAAAATAAGTGAAATAAAAAGTAATCCTAGGAAATATATATTTATGTGTGCATATTCCCAGTATAGAGCATGATGAGCCTGTATGTCGAAAGCAGTCCTGGTATACATTCTCAGGAATTCTACGTTGCACATTTGAACAAGAGAAAAAGAAGCCACAGCTGCAAATGACTATATGCAAATATTTCTAAACATTTAATGACAGCTGCCACTGGGCTGATGATTGACAAATGTGGTGGCTATGTCAATTTGACTTCATCTAGAATTAACTAAAACCCAAGCAGCTAGTTATACCTCTGAGGTTTTTTTTTCGTAATTAAATCATTTGAAGTATGAGGACATAACTTTATTCCCAATATGTTGAGGTGAATTATCCACCTTCAATCTGTCCATAACTTCTGGTGGTAGTCTGCGTCACGGACATGAAAGAACAGAACATTTGTTCTTTGCATGCTTGTTTGTACTCTCAGTGGCAAGTCCGTTCCTTCACTGGCATTAGAGCCATCCGGTATTAATGTTTGCAAACACGAAATAATCCTGCTCATCAGATTCTACCCCTTTGCATGAATTTTTAGATGAATGTATTTTTCATTACATTTTTTGAGAATTTCATATGGGAGTACGGTATTTACATCATTTTCATACCTCCATTTCCCTCTTCCAAATTCTCAGTATTCCCGGATCCCCCAAAATTCACATCTCTCCTTTAGCTGTTATCGCTGTTTCGTGCTACATCTATGTACATGTTGATTGGTGTTGTCCTTATATAGGCGTTGTTTAAGTAACCAAGTTGTTGAGATTTCACGGACATAATTTGTTTGTTATAACTAGAAGACAGTATGTTATACCAGATGTCCTGGTCCTCTGCCTCTTTCAATCTTTATGACCTCTCTTCTGCAAATTTCCCTGAGCCTTAGGTATAGGGGTTACATCATAGATATATCAAATTTTGTAGGATACCACATAATCAATTACTTGTGCTCTGCAGTTTGGTCAGTTGTGGAATTCTGACTGTATCAGCTGCAAGAGTGTGGGTATAAGGATAAGCATTTAGAACACAGCTTGAAGCCGGGCAGTGGTGGTGCACGCCTTTAATCCCAGCACTTGGGAGGCAGAGGCAGACAGATTTCTGAGTTTGAGGCCAGCATGGTCTACAGAATGAGTTCCAGGGCAGGACAGCCCAGGCTATAAGAGAAACCCTGTCTCGAAAAACCACACACACAAATAAAAAAAAAAAAAGAAGACGAACACAGCTTGAAATTATACAGCATTAGGAACATGGCAGTAGTAGGTTCTGTTCTAAAGCTCATGAGCTCTTTAGCCACAGGTAGTTGGCTCGCCTATGGGCATAAATTCTCTTCCTCTGAGCTAGCCTCAAGTTCATTTAAATGTTTTCTTGAAACGTGCCTTGCCACTTTCCTTACTAGTGTTTCTTCAATCCTCTTCCTTTATTCTCTTCCTTTTGTTTTTTCCTTTTACTTTGTATTCCTTTACAATGATAGTTGCATAGGGAACCTTGACATCAATGGACACAAACCAAACTGACTTAGCCTAGGAGAACAAAGGCTGCTGGGAGGACCAGGGAGATAGACCTGCTGCTGACCAGTCCCAGGTCAAACAATTCTGTATCTGAAAATGAAGCTCAGCTTCCCTTTGTCTCAGATATTTTTAAACTGACAAAATGTAAATCTCTGATCTTTGACTCACTCCTTGAAGTAACTGAACTGGAAGCAATGAAAACTATGCAAAAACTTCAGTTTAGTGAGACTAGTATCCAAGTCAGTAAGGGAACCAAGGACATATGGAGGAACTGGTTCAGTTTAGTCAACTTGAAACAATCCTAGACATACCAGTAAAGAGGGAATCATAACTGAGAATCACACTCCATTAGATTGGTCTCTTGGCCTTAATTGCTAAATGGTTTAAGTGTTTCCAGCTCCTCTAATACAGTGTCATTCTTAAGTAGATGGCCTGGTGGCATAAGAAAGATAACTGTCTGTGTGTCTATAAGCAAGCCAGTAAGGAACTTTCCTCTATGGTCTCTATTTCAGTTCCTGCCTCCAGGTCCCTGTCTTGAGCTCCTGCCCTGGCTTCCTTGACAATGGCCTTTAGCCTGATAGCTAAATAAACCTTTTCCTACCCAAGTTGGTTTTGATCATGGAGTTTATCACAGTAATGATAGACAGAATAAGGCTAGTGGGACACAGAAGTAAAAATGTTGTGCTGGTTACTCACAAAGGGGAGCAAATATTGAGAATAGTTAAAGGCTACACAGGAAATGAATGCATGTGAGTAGTTCAGAGTTTAATGGAAGAAAATTGGGTAAAAAACTGTGTAAAATGAAAATACAGGTAAAGGACACAAATAAATCAGCCATAAAAGATAAAGTCAAACTACTAATTCACATAGAAACATCTGGTAAACTAAGGTTCCCAGAAAAAATAATATGTATGTGAAACATTCTAAGAAGTAGAATAAAATGTTTGAAACATTATGGTTCAGCACAGTTAGAATGTTACAGATCCAGAACCAAATTATGTAGGGCTCTCTTTTGTTGATTTTATAGTCTTCATTGCCCATCTCTCTCACTTAAAATCTATTCGGCTACATTGTGAACCTTTAGAGGGTATTAATATTTCCCAAAACTGCTTCTGCACTGACATGTAGTATTCAGTACCACCTGAATCCATGTTCCTGAGCAAATATCACTGAACCTGGAGTAGAATAAGTTATTTCTTTTTCCCTTTGCAATAAGAACAGTGTTTTGCCTACAGTGTTTAAGCCCACTAGCAATTACACATGAATTTTTTTAATGATGTATGATTTCAAACCTGGAAAACTTACACTGTGTCTAAAGTAGGAGAACTTTTAAATTGAAACAAAAAAAGAAAAAGAGACATGTACTCTTGGTCTAACTAAGACGCACGCACTTAACCTATGATTCTATTAAAATGTACCTTTTCATACTTCAAAATATACTTGCATTAATTCTCACAGATATAGTATCATTAAAATGGGCAACATGTATTTTTATAGTAGGCATAAATTTAAAATGAGAGATTTATGTTTTATCTGTGCTATCCTAGAAAGCATTACCTTTATTAATTTTTATAAACTTTCCTAGACATATATTAGCTGTAAAATATTTTGAATGGTAAGAATGATATTTCAATAAATAAATTAAAAAACATAATTTTTACTTTATAAATACAGACACGGCACGATCACAATAATCTGTGAAATGAGAGACAGACAAGTAAGTGCCCTCATCTTTATGAGAACAAATGTAACTAACTTAACTTTGGATGGTTATAAATGTTACACAAATGAAAAATTCAGAGTATACTTATTAAATAGTTAGAATACTACTTAAATCTACTTATGTATTTTAATTTTGTGTACAAAGAGCCATTATTTTAAAAAATAACTCCAATTTAAAATCATTTCAGTACCTATTTTTCTATTCATCTAATTACATATTATTTAGCAACTTAAATGTGCCAACATGATTATGGCAAATATAATATTTAATTTTGCTTTTCCCACAGGAAGCAATTTATATTGTCTTTTACACAGAAAAATCTAAATCAAAAATTTGAAATCACTAATTAAATAAAAGTTGTATAAACATTACTCACCAGTTGTATACCTTCTTGGGACGGAAGAATAGGTCATAGGCAGGAGACTGGCTGAACATCTTTGCACCTTGCATTAACTAGGACACCAGCAAAGGCATTAATGAAACTTTGCTCTCTATGTAGGAGTCATGAGTCTCACAAAAGCCTAGCAATCATACTAATAGTCATTTTAGTACTGAGAAACCATTTCACACATGTGCATTTCCTAGACTCCTCCTATGATCTTTGTTCATCTGACTGGATTGCCTTTGGAAACCATTTCTATCAAGCTTTTCATGGAACGAAAACCTGGGCAGAGAGTCAGTCTGCCTGTGAGGAACTGAAATCTCATCTTGTGATCATAGACTCTGAAGAAGAGCTGGTAAGTCACACATTCCTGCTTTTCTTCTCTTTGTAACTGATGGCACTGGGAACACTGTCCATGAAGATCAGACTGAATGTTCTAGAGGTCATGTGAGACCTGCTCATGACAATTTGCTTTTATCCTTAGTGAGAACACAGGGAGGACTCTCCAGCATTCTGAGACTTAATGCTACAAGAAAATCAAAGCAGGAAATGACCTCTAGTCAGCATTTTCTATGCAACAAGACCCAAAGCTGCTATTCAGTAAGGAAGGGACATTTCACCCAGCATGGTAACTCCTTCCTGTTACCCTAACACTTGAGAGGCTGAGACAGGAGGACCACCATGAGCTTTGAGGCCAGTTTGGGTTACATAGTGAGTCTCCAAATCAGTTTGGACCATGGGGTGAAATTCTGTTTCAAATATTAAAGATATATACAAATTCAAAGAAATTATTTTTTTAGGAAGCAAAAAGAAAGAAAATGAATTAGGATTGTACATTCACTTATGGATTGTGATTTTCTGTACTCATCAGGAAAATTTGTTATTGTTTGAAATTGAAGGGTGGATTCTTCTCAAAAAGGATGGAACCAACAGGTCCTGGTTATGGGGAAATGACGGTAAAACACAGCACACCTTGTAAGTAAGATCTTTGGATAAAATGGGCTTTGCTGAGGGTAGTAGGACTGTTATACATGTGTGTCCTGTCTCTGTGTGGCACAGAGGAAGCATTAAGAAGAAAGAAAAGCACTCACTCTGATGTAGAAGCAGCAATCTGTAGGTCATAAAAGAGAAAATATGTTAGCCTGATAGAATCTCACATTGAAAACATTCACTCTACTGGACACCCTGGAGACACTTATACATCATTTTAGGAAGTTTGCAACTCTAAAGCAACGATTCTCTATCTGTGGGTTGTGAACCCATTAAAGGCTGAATGACACTTTCACAAGAGGTCCCATAGAAGATGTCCTGCAAATCTGATATTTACATTACAATTCACAACCGTAGTGAATTTACAGTTTTATTAAGTAGCCACAACATAATTTTATGTTTGGTGGTCACCACATCCTAAGGAACTCTCTTAGAGGTTCCCAGCATTAGGCAGATGGAAAACCGCTGCTAAAGCCGTGTACCATTTCCTACTTATTTGAATCCCAATCCTGCTTTCTCAGACAGTGTAGGATTCGCTTGTGTCTGATGTTTTCCATTAAGCTTACCATTTTGCAATTAAAGGTCACCACTCACTGGTGGCTCGTTGTTTTCTTCCTGTAACAATATGTTTTCATCTCTTTGGCCTGGACTAGTTTTAGCTAATTCAAACTCTAAAATTAAAAACTGTGATCTCTAATAACTACCTTATGATTTATGATTTTTTTTAAATTGTTTTTCTACAGAATTTATGATTCAGAAAAGAATAACAGCTGTCATTATCTGCGTGGGAACCAATTCATTTCTGGTGACTGCTCATCTAGGAAATCTTACACCTGTGAATTTAATATAAGGTGACACCTATCTCGCTATAATAATTTTATTTAATTATGAACATCAAAATGTCTGTTATTTCTTGAGTTTATAATTTTCATATTTGATCTTTGTCAAAAGGCCAATGATGATGGTTTTTGGATTTTGAAGATGTTTTACTGAGATGAGATGGTGATTATATTTTTTATCATCGATATCATATTGAGTGAGAAATACTCTTCTTAATGATGATCACAACTCGATCAAGATTTCTGTTATTAATAAATTACATATCTAATACCATTTATATTTGGTAATTTAGCAATAGACTTAAAGTGATCAAAGGATTCCATATGAATATAGTGGGTTTTTTAAAAGTTATTTGTGTATTTTTTCATGTATAAGGAATAAGGACTCCATGAAGCATGTGGAGGTCACAGGATAAGTTGGTGGAAGTGATTTTCTCCTTCCACTTTTATGTGGACTCCAGGGGTCCCCAGGCTTGAATAAATTTTGCTACACACTGAGCCATGTTACTAGCTTGGTTTTTGTTTTTGGAGTATGCTTATCCTATGTTGTTGTTCAGCCTGATCTGTATTCCCAGGGCTAAAACTAGTTTTGAGTCTCAGCAGACCTAGTAGGTAGACCAGAGATGCAGCCCACCTCACCCAGTGTAGTATTCCTAATGGGCAGATACCTTTGAAGATTGTTCAAAAGACATATTGATGATTATGCTTGAAATAGCAAGAACAGGTTTAATGGAAAAACAATTAATAACAAATGCAGGGGCTGGAGAGATGGCTCAGAGGTTAAGAGAACTGATTGCTCTTCCAGAGGTCCTGATTCAATTCCCAGCAACCACGTGGTAGCTCACAACCATCTGTAATGGAATCAGATGCCTTCTTCTGGTGTGTCTGAAGACAGCGACAGTGTATTCATTCATATACAGTAAATAAATCTTTAAAAAATAACAAATGCAACTTCGATTGAAATAGTTAAGAAGCTTAGCTGAGCTGCAGTGACAGCTCTGAGGTTAAGAGTGCATACCGCTCCTGCAGAGGTACAGGTTCAATACCCAGCATCAACTTGCTATCTCAAAGCAGCCTGTAACTCTAGTTGTAGTAGATCTGACACACTCTTCTCATCTTCCTGGGCTCCTGCATGCACATGATACACATAAAAACTCACATATGCACTCACAGATATATTGAAGTGACTACCATCATGTTATCTTCTCCTGACTTCATTTTGTGCTTGCTTACCTTTCTATCTACCTACACCATCTACCCTAGAAACACAATTGAATTTCCATGGTCCAGATGTATTAACCAGAATAGTTAATGTTTATACCAATTTAACAGAAGCTAAATAATTGAAGAAGGTATGACTCAAAAAATTGTCATGCTGTGTCTAAGATTACTAGTATGTTCTGCCAGAAATTAATGCTTCAAAGTTATTTTGAGCCTTGTCTAACATTGATATAAATTATGGTCTTTGTGATTTTTGCCTTTAAAAATATTGTGCCCCTGAGTTTCAGCATCATGAGGTGTTGAGACATGAACCTGCTCTTGATCACCAGCTAATAAAAGACCAATATGCTTTTACTCGGCTTATTAAGAAAGGTTTTCTGTATCTTTCTTGTATGAATTATTATAGTATAAAATACTAAGTAAATAAATTTTTATAAAAGGAACTCAGTCAAGCCACTTTTCTAGAGAGCAGATAATACTTTACTTTCTGTCCTTTGAAAAGTGACCCAGTGATGATGAAAGAACAAAGGAGAGAGTCAAGGCAGGAATGAAAACCATGATGGAAAAACATAATTCTTGTGCTAAAAGGACTAAAACTGAAAATTTAAAATTTTCATATTTTAAATCCTTAAAGAAACAATGGCAAACAATTCTCCAATTGAATTTCTAAAAATTATTGTTTGGATTAAAATACAATAAGCTGCAAAACCATTAAGAGCAATTTCAGAGAGGAAAACCACAGCTATGAACACCATTGTCCTACTGCTGACATTTAGAGGTAATGACTGTGGTGTTTGAGTGATGGCTCAATGGTTGAGAGCACTAGATCCTATTCTAAAGGACTCAGATTCAATCTCCAGTACACACAGGGAGGCTTACAATTATTTGTAACTTCAGTTCCAGTGAATCCAATACCCTTCTATGTTCTTAGAGGGCACACACATGGTACAAACACAGCCAAAGGCCCAGACCCATAAAATAACAATGATGATGCTGATGAGGCCTCACTTCTCATCAGTACCTGGTCCATTCAGATGACATGTCTAAGTAAGTCTCTCACAATAGCCAATGAGAGCCAACCAGAGACAACTAGAGCCAACCAGAGACAACTAGAGCCAACCAGAGCTGCCACCTGCTCTTAGGGTTACGTAGCATTTTAGACCATAAGGATTAAATAATTTTTTATTCATCTTACAAATTATCCAAATTACAGTGCTCTATTACACTAAGCAGACTGCAATGATAAAACAAACAATAACTGAAGCTTAATACTTAGCTGATGCCAACAAGAATGAGAGTAAAAGCTCAAGGGTGGTGCTCAGTCTCAATGGCTGCCTCGTGTTCACAGGTTCTGCAGTAAAATCTGGGAAAGAAATTCCATGGTTCTTCTAGAATGGAAGGCTTTCCAGCTTGATATTCACTATCTCCCTCTTTTCACTTTCTTTATCTTCTCTCTACTCTTCTCTTTTCTTTATTCTTTCCTTTATTTCTTCTCTCTTTTCACCTACATCTATCATATCTATTTCCATCCATCTTTACACCTTTCCTGTTATTGTGTAACAATGTCTTCTAAGATTGAAACATCTACTCTGGAGTGAAGCTCATTAATACAGGAAGGAAACAAATCAAAATAACTTCAGGAAGTCCCTGAAACTGACCAGATTCACTAACATACATTCTATCTTGCCTGCAACAGTATATAATCAGTAAGGAGTGCTGAGTATCATTCTCTGACCAAATGAGTTACCTGGAAAGAGCACTCTTCAGGCTGTTGAACTGCTTGCAGGCTCTGCAGTGTGCTTCAGGCTTCTGGTTCATGTAATCTGTCACCCATACTGAGGAAATCTTTGGTGATCTAGCTTTGAGTAATTTGAGTAATCGAGTAATCTGCTGCAGCAAGTAACCCCAATAAACTAAATTTAACCAATAAATTTGGTTCACCAAATTGAAGTTTGGTGATATCTGTACTTTGGTCTTTTATCACCTTACTATCTGGAGTAAGCCTATACTTGTTCTTATCTCCCTAGTTAGAGAGTCACATACCACCTATACATGCCAGAGCTCCTGCATGTCTCCAGATATATTTAGGAAATCTTTATAAAAATCAAAATTCCAAATGTAGAAGTTGGATCTGGTTCTTCATCTCAGTCCTATGCTTCCAGAAAAAAAGGCTCAGACTCAAAATATATTTGCAAATAACTTTACTGCATAGCTAGGCTCCTCTATGACTAGATTATAATTTAAATTAACACATTTATTCTAACCTACATTCTTCCATGCATTCTGTACTCAGGTACCTTGAATCTGTCTTGTTAAATCTTCTGCCTGGAACTATACCAGAATCCTTTCTGCCTCTTCGATGTTCTACCTCCTCTTTCTTGCCTAAGCTATAGGACATCAGATTTTTTTTTTTTTATTGTCAGGTGCCATGTCCATACAAACGTAAGATATTCTCTCTGTAATTCCCCTTTCTAGTCCAATAAAAGACTCTTTTTCTTTATACACAATAATAATTATTACGAAGACTATCACACATGGTTTACATTATAATGTCTAGTTCACAGGATTTGGCAATTTGTAGTACACAGTATTCTGTTATCTGTTCTATCTTGATGCATTAAGAGTTCTGGGTCTAAATCATTTTCTACCCTAACTTGCGTTACCAGTCTAAAAAATCTTAGATCTAAAACATCTGATTAAATCCTAAACAACTTAAGCTTAATTGTGAGACTACAACTATCTAGTCTTCAGCCTCAATAGAGACATGAGAAGGAATAGATATCACTTGAGTAAGAAGTGCAGCAAGCAGCTTCTAAGACTAAGAATTGACAGACAGCTGGATGCCTGGACATCTAACCATTAGTTTTTATAAAGCTAGCGCATCTATCTTCAGTCTTCTGGCCCAGAATATCTGACTGATATATT